TCACGAAGTGAATTGGCTTGTTTTACAACGTCGTTGCCAAGCGACGAAAACCCAATCCGGATGGCAAACACCGGCAGGTGGGGCGAGGGCAAAACCACATGGTACTGATCGCGTCGCATTCAGTGAGAAGTCGGGTGCAACAGCTGTACTCTGCTGCAGGAGGTTTGTGTTTTTGGCGCTTAGGTTTCTGCTGTCCGGGTCGGAACAGATATGGTGCTTCACGGATGCCCCAACGTTGAGTTCTCTGACGCTAATTTCTCACGAGCGCACGACAGATATTTTTTGGGCTCAAAGGAGACAATTTGGGATATGCCTGTACTCTGTTGGCTGTTCGTCCCATCTGTTCTTGGCGCAATTCTACCTCCATCACACTTCCGTTTGTTCAGAATGTCCCTGAGAATGCAGAATCATCCATGGTGAAACTTTGGGATTCTCACGTCTGCAAGCTTGCCTGTTGAACTCGCCAGGGTAGTTTCTCTGTGATGTTCTGTATGTTTTCTAGAAGAAACAGCGTGTCTTCACCTTCACGTCTATTCGCTTCTGCGGGTGCACCATGGCGTCGTAGCACATCTCCAGGCGCTTGAAGATCTGCACGTACTTGATGTACAGGCAGGCGAAGTGCTGGAAGGCTTCCATGATAGTGGCTTGCGGGGGAGGCGGCGGTGGCTCGTCACCCTCGGCCACGTTTAACGTGTTGTCCTCGATGTGCACCTTTTATTCAGTTCCGTACGTTTGAAATTTTACAATTTTCTGTCCTTGGGAGTAAGTGAACGTTACATAGACATTTCGCTTGTCACACGCCCCAATCATTCAGGGTTGACAATTTGTTGGCACTTTTCTCGCTTCGACCCCTGCTGTTGTAGATCGAAAGTCTATCCAGATTGACAGGCGGCAACTTATCGGCGGGACGTCGTCAGCATTTCGAGAGAGAAATTAGAACTTCATCTTCCCTAGAAAGGTGGCCACGTAGTTGAAGGGATGCACACCAAGGTCGGCTTAGCCCTATACACACAGAGCGGGGTGCACATGTACGCCGAAAGTAGGAAGCAGGTCCTAGCGTGACGGAACTTGCTCGGAGAGTTCAGCGAACGCGCGGGTTTCAGTAGGAACAGGACATTATTTACCGTCGATGAGCGAATCAGCCCGATGTACCGAAGTAGCTCGTGTGCATCGCATTTATATCTGGACGCATTAGTATCTGGACACAAATGCCAACATCACAATCATACCTGCTCGTTCAGCTCAGCCATCGTCTCTCGCCACACCAAGTCATACGTCCTGCAGGTCGTTGTGTGGGTACGATGACGATATACAGCGTCACATCCAGGAAGGATTTCACTTACAAGAGTAACCACAGGATAAGGCCTCAAAAGGGGGGGGGGGGG